TGCTGGGTCGGGAGCTGCTGAGCCTGGGGGTGCTGAGCTGGGAGCTGCTAAGCATGGGGGTGCTGCGTCTGGAGCTGCTGAACCTGGGGTTTCTCCTGCTGCTGCGTCTCGCCGGGAGCCCCTCTCTCCACAGGAGCTGCGCGAGTGGTACGCTCGCCGCTTCAGGCGTGCTGCTGAGTCTGGAGGTGCTGCTGGAGCTGGAGCTGGAGCTTCTTCGACCGTCGAGGGTGCGGGTGCTGCCGGTCCTGGAGCTGCTGGACCTGCGGGTCCTCCTGGAGCTGGAGGTGCTGAGGGCGTTGGTGCTGAGCCTACTGCTGTTGGTCCTGCCGCTGGAGGTGTGGGTGGCGCTGGTGCTGTCGCTGAGGGTGCTGGTGCTGTCCCTGCTGCGTCTGGAGCTGCTGAGCCTGGGGTTTCTCCTGCTGCTGCGTCTCGCCGGGAGCCCCTCTCTCCACAGGAGCTGCGCGAGTGGTACGCTCGCCGCTGGAGGCGTGCTGCTGAGTCTGGAGGTGCTGCTGGAGCTGGAGCTGGAGCTTCTTCGACCGTCGAGGGTGCGGGTGCTGCCGGTCCCGGAGCTGCTGGACCTGAGGGTCCTCCTGCAGCTGGAGGTGCTGAGGGCGTTGGTGCTGAGCCTACTGCTGTTGGTCCTGCCGCAAGAGGTGTGGGTGGCGCTGGTGCTGTCGCTGAGGGTGCTGGTGCTGTCGCTGAGGGTGCTGGTGCTGTCCCTGCTGAGTCTGGAGCTGCCGCGCGGCCTCGGCCGTACTTCGTTCCGCTCCTACAGCAGGTTCTTGGTCTTTCTCCTTCGGTAGAGTGTCCACAGCCAGTCCAGTCGCAGTCACTGTTGGAGCCTTCCTCTCCTCTGCCTGCTCCCTCTCCTTACACTGGTCCTACTGGAGGTCTTGCTGAGCGTCGTGAGCCTGCGTCTCGTCCCGCGTCGCCTGTTCGTGCTGCTCGCGCTAGTGGTCGCGGTTCGCGTCAGCGTCCTCCTCCTGTCCCTGGCACGCACCGGATGTCTCTGCGTCCGTCCACTGCTCCTCTGCGTGCCCCTCTGCCTTCTCCTCCTGAGTCCTCTCTTCCTGCGCGTGCCGACCCTGAGTCAGACTCTCTTCGCGCTGCCAGTCCTACTGTCACGCGTCTGCTTGCTACTGTCGTCACTGACCTCTCTTTTGAGTCCACTGCTGCGTCTGCTCTAGTCGCTGAGCTCGTTGACTTTGCTGCTCGCTGTCGTCTCGACTACGCTGCTGGTCTTGTTGCTGAGTCTGCGTCTGTCTGTCCTCCGTCCGTCGGGGGTGAGTGTGCTCTTGGCACGGACGTCCTAGAGGACAGACAGGAGGAGTTACAGTGTCTAGCGGCTGCTTCACCTCATCTCGCGTCTGTACTACTTGCCCCTGAGGGAGACCCGGATGCATTAGACATCCCGACTCCGCGTTCTTACGCGGAGGCCGTAGAGGGTCCCTACTCCTCTCAGTGGCAGGCAGCTATGGATGCAGAGATGGCTTCCTAGAAGTCCACAGGCACCTACGTTGACGCAGTTCCCCCTCCTGGGGCGAACATCGTCAGTGGCATGTGGATCTTCCGGGTGAAGCGGCCGCCGGGCTCTCCACCTGTCTTCAAGGCACGGTACGTTGCTCGTGGCTTCAGTCAGCGGCAGGGAGTTGACTACTTTCAGACCTTCTCTCCCACCCCGAAGATGACCACTCTTCGGGTGCTGCTGCACATAGCCGCTCAGCGCGACTACGAGCTTCACTCTCTTGACTTCAGCACTGCGTTCCTGTAGGGTAGCCTGCACGAGGAGATCTGGCTGCGCCGTCCACCTGGCTTCACTGGGACTTTCCCTCCTGGCACCCAGTGGAGCCTCAGACGGCCAGTCTACGGTCTCCGCCAGGCACCGCGTGAGTGGCACGACACACTGAGGACTACGCTTGCGGCTCTTGGGTTTGCTCCTTCTACTGCTGACCCGTCGCTGTTTCTGCGCACCGACACCTCGTTGCCGCCGTTCTACATCCTCGTGTACGTCGACGACTTGGTCTTTGCCACAGCGGACACTGCTGGACTCGCCTACGTGAAGTCCGAGCTGCTGAAGAGACACACGTGCACAGACCTGGGTGAACTGCGCAGCTACCTTGGCTTGCAGATCACTCGGGACAGAGCACGCCGCACCATTACCTTGACTCAGTCACACATGGTGCAGTAGGTCCTTCAGCGCTTCGGCTTCACGTACTCCTCGCCTCAGGCCACTCCTCTACCTACTCGCCACTCACTCTCAGCTCTGCCTTCGGATGAGTCCGTAGAGTCGAGTGGTCCGTATGCAGAGCTTGTTGGCTGCCTCATGTACCTGATGACCTGCACACGACCTGACCTTGCATACCCTCTGAGCATTCTTGCACGCTATGTTGCTCCTGGGAGACACAGACCGGAGCACATGGCTGCAGCGAAGAGGGTATTGCGCTACCTGTGCAGCACGTCGGGCATGGGGCTAGTGCTTGGAGGGCGGAGTCCAGTGGTCCTTACCGGCCACGCGGACGCTTCTTGGGCTGACGACCAGGCTACGCAGCGGTCGTCACAGGGTTACACCTTCAGCCTTGGTTCCGGCTCTGTCTCGTGGCGATCTACTCGCTCGTCTTCGGTTCTCGGCTCCAGTTGTGAGGCTGAGATCTACGCCGGGGCCATGGCTGCACAGGAGCTTCGCTGGCTCACCTACCTGCTGACTGACCTTGGAGAGCCGCCTCGTTCTCCTCCAGTGCTGTACGTAGACAACAAGGCTATGCTGGCCTTGTGTCGAGAGCAGCGCTTGGAGCACAGAACGAAGCACATTGCTCTCCGCTACTTCCTTGCTCGTGAGCTGCAGCAGCGTGGTCAGCTGCGACTTGCGTACGTGGCCTCTGAGGCCAACACTGCTGATGTGTTCACCAAGGCACTCGCGCCTTGTGACCATCAGCGCTTTTGCACCCAGCTGGGTCTTGTGCCTGTCTTGCCTCACTTGCTCTCCTCTTGACTTCACTTGTACTGAGACATATATATATGCCTGCTCTTGTTTGTCTAGTTTTATATATATGTCTGTACTCCTGCATGTGAACTGGCCTCTGGCCCTACTCTTGTGCTCGGACTGTGTGGTGACTTTGTGATCCACCCTGAGCTTGCTTTGCTTTGCTTGACTGGTCTTGTGACCCCTTGTTCTCCCCCACTTTGCCTATGGGGGTGTGTCAGATTTATATGACATAGTTGTTGTAGGCTATAGTGGGGTAGCACATATGGGGTACAGGGTTTCTAGGGTTGTATTTGTACCCATCTTTCCTTAGTCATTTTCATCCCTGTTCGTTTATTCTCACAGCCTTCTGGCCTTTGAACTTGTGCTCGGAATGTGGGGTGACTTTGTGATCCACCCTGAGCTTTGCTTTGCTTTGCTTGACTGGTCTTATGACCCCTTGTTCTCCCCCACTTTGCCTATGGGGGTGTGTCAGAACATTATAGCTTATATATTTGTGTAAGCTATAGTGGGGTATTCCATAGGGGGTACAACCCAATCAGGTTTTCCTATATGTACTCACTTCATTGATAGTTCATTCATTCTCGTTCTAGTTTCTTTCACTGATTAAACGGGGGCGGGTTGACGGGCTTGATCTTGGTCGTCGTAACTGTAACTGGCGTTGCTGTCGCTCGCTGCATATCTTCTTCTTCGAAGTCACGTGTGAGAGCATCCAGTGGGTTGCTCATCGCCTGACTGTTGCCCTCGCTTTCGTCCACAGGCGACTCCTGATGCGCTTCACCTCGCGTCTGGCGTAGCTCGGCGTTTTCCTCTCGTAGTGTTGTCACTTCCGCCATTAATGTCTTCATGCTCTCCTGCATCTCTGCCACTTGCGCCATGATCCGGTTAACAGCCTCCTGATCCATGTGCCTAGCGCTACGTCTGGTGGGCAGTCGGGTCTCCGTGGCTTTCAGGCAAGTGAAAGCACGAACTATCGGAGTTGGGCAGGATTGAATTAACAATCCCTGCAGCCAACTGTCGTGTAGTCACTAAACTAGCCACACCCTATGCCACCAAACTACCCTCGGAAAAGCGGGGTGAACTAGGAAAGTAGCTCTGATACCAGGTGTTATGAGTTGTAAAAGAGAGTGCGCAGGTAAACGAATAACGAGACTGTGACTGAATGCACTAAGAATACAATGAATGCACAGACTAATGTAGGGCTAGCCTAGCTAGAAGGAAACCTCGGAAGACGAGGTTGGGTGCAAGTTTGGCGATGGAAATGCCGAAGGCGACGCGAGGAGCCTCGGCAGCGTTGAAATCGGCCGAACGTACAAACTCCGAAAATCGGGTTGTACGCAAAGTAGTCAACCCCGATAAGGAATTCGGGAAAATTCCTTACATTCGTTCACTCAATTGCACTCGTAACAGTAGCCCACATAGTGCGATCCTCGTTATCTCGTTCCATTGCACTCGTAACAGCTGGAAAACAAAACCCCATGTTTTCCATTCTCTTATCCCCCAACTTTTTCCTTCCGTAGTGAAGCGCCCGCGACAGACGCCAAGGGATTACTTTTAAGGTAAGAGAGAACATTCTAAGAAAATGCTCACCGTCGTGATTAAGGTAGGACGCGTGAATTTGAGTGAAACATGAGATCCGCGCCCGTGAGCAAGCGCTGGCGCCTAGTGCACTCGCTTAGACCGTTGGCACCTAGCGCCGGCGCCTAATAGGGCGCTGGCGCTTAAGCTGCTTGGCGCCTAGCGCGCCGAGGGCGCTGGCGCCGTTGTCGCGGCCGCCTAAGGCGCTGGCGCGGTCCACATAGGCGCTGGCGCTGGCGCGTGCGCCTTAGGCGCGTTTGAGCCAAATACAACACACCCTCGTGATCATTTCCGCCCGCAATCTCGTTCCCACGTAAAACCCGCACATTCGCAGTCACAATCTCCCAGAACCATTCAAAAAGTAAATTCTCGTGCCGTATTCCAAATCCGAGAGCGTGCAGGTTTTTCATGCGCAGAGGGTGAGGGTGCGCGCGCCGCCATGGCGGACAGCATTTTGTTTGAAGACATATTCACGCTCACCGAGATGGACGTGGGCGGCAAGAAGTTCGACAAAGGTTCGTTCGCTCTCTCGCTTCTCGTGACTTTTGAGTCAAAAGGTTCGTTCGCTCTCTCGCTTCTCGTGACTTTTGAGTCAAAAGGTTCGTTCGCTCTCTCGCTTCTCGTGACTTTTGAGTCAAAAGGTTCGTTCGCTCTCTCGCTTCTCGTGACTTTTGAGTCAAATGGTTCGTTCGCTCTCTCGCTTCTCGTCATGCGGGTTGCGCGTCTCGTGCCCTCGCGCGAGAGGTGGGTGGTGGATAAGGGGGTGTTTACGTGGGCGGCAGATAAGTGGCTCCTTCTCTCGCCTCCCAGTCTCTTCATTTCCTTTTTCTCTGCTCCCTTCATCCCCCCACACCCCTAACTCTATCTTCCCCACGGGCACGCAGCGAGTTTGACATGCGGCTGTGCTTTGGAAAGCCACAAACCTTTTCTCGCCAGGACCCTACTTTCTTTCTCCCCCCATCCCCCTCCCCTCCCGACCCCCCTCTCGCCCCCTCTCCCCTGCGTTTCCCTCCCCACGTTCCCCCCTTCACACCCCACTTCCCCTTCTCCCCCCCATCCCCCCTGCCCCTGCGGCAGTGTCGCGCGTGGAGGCGCGCAGCGAGCAGTTTGACATGGCGCTGTCGCTGGACGTGAACACGGAAGTGTACCCGCTGGCCGCGGGCGACAAGTTCACCCTCGCGCTCTCGCCCACGCTCAGCCTCGAAGGCGTCTCAGACGAAGGCGTGTACGACCAGGTGGGCCGTGGATGGAGGGGTGTACGACCAGGTGGGCCGTGGATGGAGGGGTGTACGACCAGGTGGGCCGTGGATGGAGGGGTGTATGACCAAGTGGGCCGTGGATGGAGGGGTGTACGACCAGGTGGGCGGCAGACGGAGGGGTGTGCGACTAGGTGGGCGGCAGACGGAGGGGTGTGCGACTGGGTGGGCGGCAGACGGAGGGGTGTATGATCATGTGGGCGGCATATGAAGCGGTGTAAGGCAAGCCTGGATATTGACCAGGCAGCTCCGACACAGGGTTGGAGTTCAGGGTTTAAGGGAAAACTGTAGGGTTCTCGGCTTAGGGTTGAAGGTGTAAGGGTCAGAATATAATGTTCAAAATTCAAGGTTCGTGGTTTAGGGTTAGAGGTTTGAACTTTTGGCTAGGTGATTCAAGGCGGCAAGCAGAACGGGTAGGGGTATCTCATGTCATGAGTCATGGCGCATGCGTGACCATGGGCCCGCCATTGGTGCTCTCCCACCCAGTCCTCTCCTCATGGCGTGATGAGCAGCATGGTCAGAAGTTCAACGTAGAATACAAGAGAGGGCACAATGTGCGCGGTCCACGCCCTGGTGAGGAGGTACATGGCGGTATGGTGCATACCAGGCTCGATTGATGTCCTGTCAGCAGTGCAGGGGAAAGCTAAAAGCGGTGAGGCTGTGGCAGAGGCAGTGCCCCTGAAGCCACAAAGAGGGTAGCAACATCCCTCCCTGGCCTCTCTCGCACGTGGTGCCTCGGCATTTGAGCCTTTCATCCTCCCCCCTCCTCTCCACCCTCCTCTCCCCCCTCTTCTCCCCCCCCCTTCTCCCCCCTCCTCTCCCCCCTCTTCTCCCCCCCCTTCCCCCCCCCCCTTCTCCCCCCTCTTCTCCCCCCTCTTCTCCCCCCTCTTCTGTACCTGCATGTCTCCCTATGAGAGCGTCATGTACGGCCAACTATCAACTCCATGCCATTCTCTCCCTTCCCCACTGCACGCCATCCCTGCAGTCAGGGCAGGTCATTGATGGACCGATACGAGTACGTGCTGTACGGCCAAAACCCCCTCCCCTCCCCCTCCCCCTTTGTCCCCTCGCCCCCCCTTTTCCCCTCCACTGTGTGCCGTGCCTGCAGTCGGGCCGTCGCTCACTGATGGACCGCTACGAGTATGTGATGTACGGCAAGCTCTACAAGTACAGCGACGCCACCGCCACCGCCTGCCGACGCGTGAGTCCCTCTCCATGCTGCCTCTGTCCCTACATGCTGCTGTCACTCTTTCGATGCTTGGCTAATTGGCCTGTGCTCGCCACATGATCTTGAGACGTTGAGGCGCAAGACCCTCCTTCTGGTCGTACTGGTTGTGGCTTGGCGTGTGTTTTGGTCAAAGCATGAGCTTTGATTATAGGTATGCATGTTTCCTGTATCAGCGCCCTGCTATTTCGTTCCTGCCTGGTATCGGATGCTACTCCGAATCCATTTTGTTCCTATGATGTGTTACTTGAGAGCAGTGAAGTGCAAGTTTTCGTCCTTATCTGACTTTGTTGGTGATTCATGGTCTTCTTTCTGCTTGCATTCTCCCCTCCTTGCGGCTGCTGCTTGCAACAGCGAAATCTACGTCTCATTCGGTGGTTTGCTCATGCGCTTGGCTGGGGACAGCACAAACCTGAAAGATTTTCATATTGATCAGCGGCTGTATATTCTTATTAGAAAAGTCTAAACTGTTGTATCATCTTATGCTGCGTAGAGTGCTAAGTAGGTAGGTTCTTACATGTTCTCAAGATGTATGAATCACAAGCCAAATATACGGAACACAAGACCAGACTGCCCTTTCCCATGTTTATAGGCACAGATGAATGTTTTATGGTTGTGTCATCTGGTCAAGTCCAAGCATTTAGAGCTTGCATTCTGTTGCTTAGCTGAGTACAGCCCATACACCCTTTACCCATACGTACAGTTGTGTCAAGTTTATATAGCGAATGAGTTGCTAAACAGGCAAGCTCGAAGAGGTCCCAACTGCGTACCACACACGAGCTCGAAGTGAAAGGAAACAGAAGTGACGGTTTTCCGAAAGATGAGCGACGGTTTGAAGCGGTGAAGCGGATATACCGCCTCTAACTGTACATCATCGTACTCGACCGTTTCAACCAAACAGAAGCTCAACCCTATAGTTGTTGCACTGGGAAACCGGGATTGTTTCACCGCTTGACAGCATGGGATTGTTTTCACCATCCACGTCATGTCATGCGAGCAAACAAAACAACCATCGATGATCTCAAGGGTTTGGCCTGCAGGCTAGTTTCTGTGCGATGCGATTCTTGTACATAGTCCTACGCTGCTGACATATTACTCAATGAGCTCCCCTCACCCATGAGCCACATGATGCTCTTCCACCCATGACCCGCTTGATACTCTTCCGCGGTTAGAGCGACGTTTAGCGGTGCAGCAAGTCCGACACGCGTAGGGGAAGCAAAGGTTGAACGGCACAGGGGGAGGAACAAGACCAAGACGAGTGGGGAGAGGAGCAAGGTAGGGGTAGGAGAGACGGAAGACGTGTAGGAGGAGGAGAGACGGTGGGTCGTGAGATGGAGGAGGTGGTGCCGAGAGGCGTCAAACGAGGCCAGTCCGATTCCCGCGACGCTCGCGGCGACCGGCAGCCTGGCGCGTGCGACGATGCGTCGCTCACCACAGCTGCTGCGACGGGTAACCACATGCCGAATAGCGACATCGGTAGCGGTCTAACGATGCTCTCCCCGAACGATCAATCACGAGCGCAGGCGATAGCGTTTGGTTCCATTGCAGGCATGGCGGCGGGCTCGAGCGCGTCAGGGAGTGCAGTGAGCGCGTCAGGGGGAAGTGCACTGAGCGTGGGCCAAAACGGCCGGATGAAGCGACGGAGAGGCGACGTTGGAACGCCTCTTGATGCCGCAGCAGTAGGCGCGTGCAGTGGGGTTCGGCAAGCTGACCGCGCGGGTTCGAATCTCGGCGTCAGCAGCGGCAGTGGCGAAGGCTCGGCAGCAGCTGGTGCGAGCTGCGAGGAGCGCGCTCGACTGGCAGCGCAAGCAGGTGGCTCCGGCGGTCATGCCGCGGGCGCCGCTGCAGAGATGGATTCAGCCGTCGCGGCTGTTGCTGCCGCGGGTGCTCCCCCGCGCCCTGCCGTCGCGCTGGCGGCTGCTGCTGTTGCACACGCCGCTGGGACGACGGATGAGGCTGCTGGGGTTGCTGGTAGTGGCGCTGGTTCTGGAACCACTGGCGCTTCCATCCCTGCTGCTGCCGCTGCAGTGGGGCGTGCTACAGCCTGCGCGCGTGAAGGTTCTGCCGTCCCCTGTGCTGAGACGGCAGCACACACCAGCGGTAGCGCTGCTCGCCTCGCTGCCGAGCCTGCTCTCCCTGCTGCACCCGCCGCTGCCACTCCTGCTGCTGCTGCAGGACAGGCGCTGCAAGGAGCGGTGGCGATTGTGGGTGGCGCCGCAAGCAGTGCTGCGCGCGAGCGTGCAGGAGGGGGCGCAGCGCAAGGGGGGCCCAGTGCAGGAGCGGAGAGAGCAGGGGGGAGCGGAGGAGAGGGGGGTGGGGGAGCGGGTGGGGACGAGGAGGTGGCGCGGGCGGCACAGCTGGCGGAGGACGAGCGGCTGGCGAGGGAGCTGCAGCGCGCATTCGAGGAGGAGAGCAGCATCCCGTTCGTGAGTGCTCCGTGCATGGCATGGCATGGCATGTCCAAGGATCAAAAATACGACCGAAATATTGATTTTAGGGCCGTATTATACGGTATCGTATTATACGGTCGTTTAAAACGGTTTAGTACGGTTAAATGTTATTTTTAAATTTCGATTAAAAATGCGATCGTTTTTTTCGACCGAATTTTTAGAACGGAGAAAGTGTACACCGAATTTCAACAATCAGCCCCGTCGAGTTCGTTTTGGGGGATTTCGTGAGAAGTCTTGTGAGTCTCGCTCGAATTTGGCCCGAGTCGCGCATGTCAGGAAAATGGCATGGCGCGACATTTTGACATCTGACGAACGGTATAAAAGCGCTTACCCGTTTCGCTGAGTCGTTTGAGAAGTTCGCCGAATCGCGATGACACCAAATTTCCGAGGCGCGGAAATGTACACCATTGGCGAACCCCTTGAACCTTGGTACCCGTTTCGCGGAGTCGTTAGCACAACTCGCGCGCTGGGTTTATTTTTCGCCCCCAATCCTAACGCCTCGCACAATTGCGCGCGACACAATTCCAGCCAATAGTAATACGCCAATCCATCTCCCATCTCACGTCATCCATTCTTCAAACACCCCTCGACAAAGCAGTACAAAGAGATACATATTGGAGGAGGAAAATCCCATTCGACACATCCTCTCTCTGGCTGCCGTATCTCAGAACAACAATCTCTGACCCACGCTTTCTCAGTATAGTCTAGTGGAACGCCATGGTGCGCCCCGCTTCTCAGTTTTGAGAGCACGTCATTAAGATTAAGGATGACGAAGGCAACGTAGTCGGTGCTACCTGCATTCATTGCAAGAATCCTGTGACGGCTAATGCGACTAGGATAGGCGAGCACATGTTCGGCACTAACAAGAGGGACAAGAACGTTGCGATGTGCAAGTCGGACTACGCTAAGCAGCTGCGGGCGACAGCCGATCAGGAGCGCTCGACCATGGAAAATGCTACGGGAGGATCAACCCGTGCCTCCACGTCCTCGGTGGAGGCGCCGCGCGTGCGTCGCTCCCGGCAGCGAGATATCCGTGATATGACGGACCAAGTTGCGCATAATCGCCTTGATTACTTGTGGGCTGCTGCAGTTGCCGAGAACGACCTCGCCTTCAACGTCAGCAAGTCGAAATCGATCCAGGCGTTCGTTGACGCGGTGATCATGTACGCGAAACCGTACACCCTCCCAACCCCGTACAAGGTATTCCGGCCCATTGCTAGACAAGCTGAAGGCGGACTCTGAGGACCTGCTGCGGCCGGTGAAGGAGAGCTGGAAGACCAGCGGGTGCTCGCTCTCCGTCGATGGATGGACGGACATCAAATCCCGCGGTTTTGTGTGTGTCATCGCGCAAAATGACACCGCACCCGTCATCGTCGACATCGTTGACTCGAAGACCGTAAAAAAAACCGGGGACTACTTGGCAACGCTTATTTAGGGAGCGATCACCACTTTGGGGCCGAAGCATGTCGTCCAAGTCGTGATGGATAACGCTTCGAACAACAAAAACGCCGCCAGCAAGCTAAGCGCGGATTATCCCCATATCTTCTTCACCAACTGCGCCGCCCACTGCCTCGATCTCATGCTGCACGACATCGGCAAGATCCCTGCGGTGAAACTCGTCCTTTCCCAAGTGCATCAGGTTGTGATGATGATCAAAGGCTCCGCCTCGGCCGTGGTCTTGTTCCGTGAGCTTTTTACCAAGCTCTCGTTGGTGCGGCCTGGTGCAACGAGATTTGGCACCCAGGTCATCATGCTCGGCAGGTTCCTTGAGGTGAAGCGCGCGTTGAGGGCGATGGTAATCAGCGAGGAATGGGAGGATGTAGCGGTGGCACGGACGGAGGAGGGGATGGAGGTTAGGAAGCTGCTTTTGGACGACGTTTTTTGGGACTGTGGGACGGCCGTGCATCGCCTCATGACTCCCATCTACGAGGTTCTCCGCGCCGTCGACACACGGGCTCAAGTCATGGGGCAGCTGTACGGCCTCATGCTTGAAGCCACGGTGAAGACTAATGCGGCGGCTGAGACGGCTGGTGAGTGAGACGGCTGAAAGTATTACGCGATGGGTATTGATTGTTAATCTATCCACCCACCCGCTCATGCTTCCTATCTAATTAGTGCTCTTTATTCACTGTGAGCAGCCGCACACTTCATCAAGCGGACGGGTCTGCTGTTGCCTAAGGACAGGAGCACTTTCCTCACCTCCATCAAGGCGATCATTGCCAGGAGGTGGGACGCACAACTGCACAACCCCCTGCATGCCATCGGTTGGCTCCTCAACCCCCGTAACTAGTACATTGGGGAGGTAAGGAATGACAAGGAGATTAGGAAGGGGGTGGATGAGGTAATCCAGGCCCGGGGCGGAGATGTGCAGCAGCGCATAACGCTAGCTGCACAGGTGGCTCAGTTTCACCGAGGGGAGGGCAGGTTGGGCTCTGACGATGCCCGTTGGGCAGCAACTACCTTGGTGGAGGCGGGGCGCATGACGGAGGCGGAATGGTGGTTCCTGTTTGGTGGGGAGGTGCAGGCGCTCCAAGACCTGGCTGTGACGTCTTTGTCACAGCCAGTCACCTCCTCCGAAGTGGAGAGGTACTGGTCGGCGCTGACACGTGTGCAGAGGCGCGACCGAAACCGCCTCACGGCGAAGAAGATGACTGACGTCACCTTCGTCGCCTTCACCCGGCGGGCCCGTGATGCCTTTGATCGAAAGGCAGCCCTGCGTTCCAAGCTCTATCAGGACCTGGGCAACGGCACCCTCAGGGAAGGGGCTGCCATCATCCCGGCCGAAGTGGAGGTGGAGGAAGGGGATGCGGAGGAGGAGGCACCCGTGGAGGAGGAATGCACCATTGATTGGTCGGAATTTGGGAGCATCGGCAAGAAGAGGAAAGGGAAGGCGGGTAAGTCATCTAAAGGGAAGAAGAGGGGGAAGGGCAACGGTGCATGCAAGGGAAAGGGGAAAGGAAAGGCAGGGGATGCGGAGGAGGAAGAGGAGGCGGAAGAGAGCGGTGGGGAGGAGGAAGAGCCTGCCCTGAATCCCAAGGGGCGATATGCCTGGGATTGCAGCGATGGTTCAAGTGGGGAGGAGGAGGAGGAGGAAGAGGATGACGAGGAGTATGACGGTTAGAGTGGGGAGGGAGGAGGAAGAGGATGACGAGGTGGTGGAGTAGAAGAATAGAAGGCAGCAGGGTGAGTATAGTGGGGTGGGGATGGACTTAGGAGGAGATATAGGCTAAAGGCCGGTACTTGCCTAGGTATGCATAGGGGTAGCGGCAGAATTAGTGGACCTTAGCATGCCTGTTTCTCCTTATTGTAGGTTATTATCGGTTTCCTAGTCTTTGTTGTAGCCATTTCAGTAGATTCTGGAAAAATTCTGACTCAAAAAGGGCCAACAAAAAAGCGACAATTTTTTTGGAAAACCGAACGTATTATACCATCGAAAAAAACGCCCCGTATAATACGATAGCCGTATTTTTGATCCTTGGGCATGTCATGGCATGGCATGGCATGGCATGGCATGTGTCACGTCATTCTGCGTCCATTCTGGGACTGTGCTGCATGCGCTGTGCTGCATGCGCTGTGCTTCCATTCCGTTCTCCCTGATCCCTCTCCCTCGACAACCCATCGATTCCCCCCACCCCTGCTCTGCCACACCACCATCGATTCCCTGTGTTGCTCTCTTCTGCTCTCTTCTCTCCTCCACCCCCTGGTGCATGCTTCTCTCTCCATTTCCCTTACCCTCTTCCCCTCCTCCCCCTCCCCTCCTCCCCACCACCAGGGGCGGGGACTGGCGACGGACTACCAGCTGGCGATGCTGCTGCAGGCGGAGGAGACGCAGCACCTGCGCTCCCGCGTGCTCCGCTCCTCCCACGCCCCTCGTGGCCCCGCCCGGCCGCCACCTCGCCCGCACGCCCGCCCGGATGCACGTCAACACGCAGGGCAGGGCACAAGGCAGGGCGAGGGGCAAAGTGCACGGCAAGGGGTGGGGCAAGATGCAGGGCAGCAAGCACGCGGGCACAGCGGACAGCACACGGGCGAGCGCCCCTCCCTTGCCCCCTCTGCTGCCTCTGCTCCGTGCACGCTTGCTGCGCAGGCTGGGGGGGCTGCCGACGCTGCCAGTGGGCTAGCAGGGAGGGGCGTGGTGGAAGGCGTGGAAGGGGGCGAGGAGGACGGTGGTGGTGCGCAGAGGAGGGCAGAGCACAGGGAGAGGGAGGTGGCGGGGAGTGAGGTGGTGGTGAGAGTAGCGGGGGGTGATTCTGCAGGGGCTGCTGGCGGAAGCACTGGTGCTGGCAGCGCAGGTGCTTTTGGTGTGATTGGCAGCACTGCCGGTGGCACTGGTGGTGGTGGTATTGCAGGTGCACTCAACCCCCCCGTGGCTGCAGTGCCACCTGCCCCCCTGAGACCACTGGAAGCTGCCCGTTTGGCTCGGCCGAGCATGGCAGCACCTGCAGAACGTGCCACGTCAGCATCAGCCGGCAGTGCCACGTCAGCACTAACAAGCTACGGGCGATGGCTGAGGAGAGAGGCGATGGCCGAAACAGTGGCAGCGGCAACAGCGCTGCGCAGTCAGCAGCAGCGAGCTGGGGGATTCGGGGCAGGCGGATTGGGGGAGGGCATGAGTGCGTGGGAGATGCAGCAGGAGGCGCAAGACGCGGCTGACTTCAGAGTGCTGCTGCGTGTGGATGGCGTCCTGCCGGTCCGTGCTGCTCCGCGCCTCCTCCCTGCCTGCCTGCGGCGCCCATGCTCCGTCTCGCCCCTCGTGCCCTGGATTGCAATGAGATGAAGAGCTTCTTGCTGTAGTAGAACCATGTGCTGTGCGGTGCTGTGCTGTGCTGTGCTGTGCGGTGCTGTGCTGTGCTGTGCTGTGCTGTGCGGTGCTGTGCTGTGCTGTGCTATGCTGTGCTGTGCTGTGCGGTGCTGTGCGGTGCTGTGCTGTGCTGTGCTGTGCTGTGCGGTGCTGTGCTGTGCTGTGCGGTGCGGTGCTGTGCTGTGCTGTGCTGTGCTGTGCTGTGCTGTGCTGTGCGGTGCTGTGCTGTGCTGTGCTGTGCTGTGCTGTGCTGTGCTGTGCTGTGCTGTGCTGTGCTGTGCTGTGCTGTGCTGTGCTGTGCTGTGCTGTGCTGTGCTGGGCTGTGCTGTGCGCATTGTGCCTTGCTCTCACAGCTGCATTCTTTCTGTCCCCCCGTCTCTGCGTGCGCACCTGCCCTTCCATCCCTTCCATCCTTCGCATCCCTCGCATCCCTCCCATCCCTCGCATCCCTCGCATCCCTCCCATCCCTCGCATCCCTTCCATCCCTCGCATCCCTCGCATCCCTCCCATCCCTCGCATCCCTCGCATCCCTCCCGTCCCTCGCATCCCTCGCATCCCTCGCATCCCTCCCATCCCTCCCATCCCTCGCATCCCTCTGCAGAGACAATCTGCTCGGCGCCTACAGCCTTCGAGGGCGCAGACTGCTGGAGCTGCGCGAGAAGCATCTGAACAAGCACCTGAAGAAGCACCTGAACGAGCACCTGAACAAGCAACTGAACAAGCACCTGAAGAAATACCAGGACAAGCACCTGAACAAACGCCCGAGGAGGGGAGACGTGAAGGGCCCATTGCGGAGGCAGCTGCAGCTACAGATGGGGCTGTGGCAACAGGTGGAGGGGTCGCACCCTGGGAGGCGGAGGTGAGAGAGGAAGAGGAGGCGGAAGAGGAGGATGAGGATGAGGATGAGGAAGTGGATGAGGAAGTGGATGAGGAGATCGAGATGGTGGAGCTTGATGGGTCGAGGCTGGATATGGGGCTGCTGGAAGGCAGTGCAGGCGAGGAAGCTTATATGGAGGATATGATGGATGGGGGCCATGAGTGGCATGAGGTGGATGAGGAAGCGCTGAACGAGGTGGATGACGCGTTTGACTTTGACGTTGCTCTGGGGGACGCCACCCCCCGCGTGGATCACATACCCCCTCCTGCCGCCTTGCCTGGCGGTGACGGCGCTCTGCCTGTGGGGGTGCATGGGGGGCAAAGGGGGCACGGAGGGCATGGAGGGCATGGAGGGCGCGAGTGGGGGCAGGCCAGGAGAGGGGTGCCGTGGTTCCCTGGCAGGCTTGTGGAGGAGGCGGAGCAGTGGCAGGCGCGCGTGGCACGGCGGTGGGGGCAGGCAGGGGGACCGGCTGGGGCTGGCGAGCAGTCAATGGGGGTTGCTGCTGGCAGAGGGGGAGGAGAGGGTGCTGGGATGCCGGGCATGGGTGCTGTGAGTCTAGGGGCGGGGCACGAGACAGCAGAGGCAGAGGCAGAGGCAGAGGCAGGCACTGGTGTGATGCCCACAGCCTCTGAGCTGCCCTCTCCATCGGCTGATCACGCTGCTGCCCCTTCCTCACCCTCTTTCCGCAATCTCCCCTCCTCCCCCGCCTCACCTTCCCTCCGCAACCTCCCCTCCTCGCCCGCCTCTCCCTCTTTCCGCAACTTCCCCTCCCCTCCGCACTCGCCCCCCACGCACGGCCCGCTGCAGCGTGGGAGAGCCGGGCTGCATGCGGCGCCCCACGCTCATGCCATGGGCGCCGGCGGGCGCGATAGGAGGCAGGGCGAGGGGGGTGCCATGGATGCTGCTGGGGGTGGTGGAGGGGGCGCAGGGGCCAGCAGTGCATTCTCCTTCGGCACACCGGCTGAGTCCACCGCCTCTGTGGGCATGTGCATGCACAGGAGGGGGTTTGTGCGCGCATCGCAACTGCACGCCACCCCGGCCCTCACCACACGCCCCTCCTCTCCACCTCCTCCCGCTGCTGCTCCTCCTGCTCCTCCCCCTGCTGACCCGCCTTCGACTGCTCGAGCTCAGCCTCACCCCGCTGGTCGGCCTGCCACCACCTCGGCCTCGCCCCACGCGCCTCTGCCTCTGCCGGCGGACTCCCCCTGGGCGCTGGGCATGCGCGCCCGCGTGGGCGAGGGGCGCCTGCCCGCCCGCACACGCGCCAGGTATGCAGCAGGACCGGGATGACACGGGGGTGCAAGGCTGGCTGGCTGGCTGTGCCCAACGATGGCCAAGAATTCTCCCTCTTTCCTCGCTCTTTCCTCTTTCTCCACTCGTTCTTGTCGATCTCTCCTCCTCACTCCTCTGCCATCATCCGCATCTCTCTCTCTCCTGTTTCCCCCCCCATGTCCGCCACATCACATCACATCACATCACATCACATCACATCACATCACATCACATCACATCACATCACATCACATCACATCACATCACATCACATCACATCACATCACATCACATCACATCACATCACATCACATCACATCACATCACATCACATCACATCACATCACATCACATCACATCACATCACATCACATCACATCACATCACATCACATCACATCACATCACATCACATCACGCACCGGTCTCCTCCCTCCCCCAGAGTGCCACTGCGCCCCTCATCGCGCTCCGCTGCCATGGGAGCGGGCGGCGATTCGGGCGGCAACTCGGGCAGTGTGGGCAGCACCAGACCCGCCGCCCTTGGCGCCCCCGCCATCCTGCCTGCCTTTACACCCCATGGTATCTCACCGCATACCATCTCACCGCATACCATCACACTGCCCGTGGGTCCTGGCGAGGCGGAAGCAGCAGGGCAGTTGTTGTCGGGGCAGCGGTGGGAGCAGGCAGTGCGTGTGGGCGCCCTCCACACGGGCGCGCTGCAACACGGTGGGGGGGGTGGAGCACCTTCAGCAGCAGCAGCAGCAGGCGAGTCGCCAGTGTTGGATGCAGCAGCAGTTACTGGCAGTGCGGTGGAAGGGGTGTTGAGAGGCGAAGGGGCAGTGGAGCAGGATGTGTTTGGAGGGGATGAGAGGACCACACACAGGAGGGAGGTTAGGGAGGGGAGGGTGGGGGGCGGGGCGGAGGAGAGGGGCAATGGTACTGGTGATGAGGCTGGGAGGGGTGAGGGCCATGAGGATGCGGAGGGCAGGGTGGGTGGCAGGGGGGAGGGCAACGGGGGGGGCAACGAGGGGGGCAGTGCGGAGATGGCTGAATCAGATGGTAGCAGCGCTCCCCCGCGCGCACCCCATGGCAGGTCAGCTGATGGCAGGTCCTGGCACGGGCGGCCGTGGCGGGGTGAGGCAAGGCAGTTGCGGGGCAGGGAGGAGGATGGCCGTGACAGGGCTGCTGCACGCATGCGGGCGAGGGTGGCGAGCAGGGCTGGATGGACGAGCAGGGGCAGGGGGGAGTGGGAGGCAGCGGTTGGCAGGAGTGATGGGGTGAGGGACGGCGGGCATCTGATGGGTGTGGGTGGTGGGGGTGAGCGTGGCAGGGGAGTGGGTGGGGAGGGCCGTGGGCATGGCATGGATGAGCAGAGCAGGCTGGAGGGTGTGGGGATGGGTGTAGGCAGGCAGGGGAGTGACCGCACTGCTGCACTGCCTTTGCACCCCACACCTCCTGTGCCGGCCCGCCCACTGCCGTCTGATGCCCTGCCCCCAGTGGGTGCTCAGCCCTTGCTGCTGCCGTCCTTTGCCGCCCAGCACAGAGTGCCGCATGCCTGGCGCCCTGCTGGCCCTGGCAGGAGTGGTGGCGGCGAGGGTGGCCGGGGGAATGGCGAGGAGGCAGGGGAGAGCGGAGAGGGTGGAGAGATTGGGTTCTTGTTTCAAAGGGGGCGTGGGTTTGAAAGGGATGGTGCCGCAGTAGATGTGGCTGCTGGAGTTGCTGATGGTGCTGGGATGAGTGGGGAGGCCGGTGAGGGAATGAACAGAAGCGAGGGAATGAGCAATGCCAATGCTGTAGCCCATGGTGCAGCCCATGCTGTGAGTCGACCTCCTCACTATGCTGTCCCAGCCACCGTGACCCATGCCGCAGCCACAGACGCCCATGCCATGCCACCACATGACGGCCTTGCCACAGCACCCCCGCATGCCCGCCCTGCCGCAGCAGCACCACATGACCCCTCGCCCTCAGCCCCGCCTGCCACGGCCGACCTGCCTCTCGCCCCGCACTGGAGCCCCCTCCTCCTGCCCTCCGCGCTCTCCCCCCCCGCACCTCCTCAGGCAGGCTGGCAGGTGCCGCGCAGCAGGGCGGTGGGGGGTAGACAGGGGGGGGAGGCAGGGGGGCTGGACGCGTGGAGGGAGCGGAGGAGGGGCATGGGCGCGGGCGACGGGGGCGAGCGGAGGAGGTGGCGCGAGTGGGCGAGTGTGCGGGGGATGGGTGGAGCAGGCACGGCAGGGGCTGCAGACGAGTCCAGTGGGGAGGTGGCAGGAGGGGCGGAGGAGATGGGGGCTGCATGGGTGGGGGCTGGGAGGCCAATGGGAGGGCAGGGGCCAGTGGGAGGGGAGGGTGAGGGGAGACAAGGCGAGTCAGGTGAGCAAGCGGTTGAGTGGGAAGGGGTGCGAGTGCTGGGTTCCTTGGATGAGCCGATGAGTGAGGCAGCACGAGCAGCAGCTGAAGGACACACAGCACACGCAGCAGATGCAGCAGATGCAGCAGATGCAGCAGGCGAGGATACAGAAGCAGCAGATGTCCACCCTGCCCTGGCCTCTGCTGCGCTCTCTGCTGCTCACCGCTCCGCAGCAGCAGCAGCAGCAGCAGCATCAGCAGCAGCAGTGGCAGCAGCAGCAGCAGCAGCAGCAGCAGCCACCGATACAACAGTAGGTATAGCCATCACGGAAGGAGCAGCAGCAGCAGCAGCAGCAGCAGGAGGCAGCACAGCAGCAGCACGAGGAGCGGCACAGGAGGAGGCGAGGGAGAGGCGGCGGCGGCTGCAGCGGCTGGTGGAGGAGCGCGTTCGGGTGGCCCGCCACGTTGTGGAGGCTCGGGCACACGCCGCCCAGCAGCTCGTGGAGGCTCGGGCGCAGCAGGAACGGGAAGCGGTGGATCGGCGGGCACGGGAGGCTCGGGAAGCTCTGGAGCGGCGGCTGAGGGAGGCTCGGGAGGCAGTGGAGCGGCGAGCGAGGCAGGCGGTGGAGAGGGTGGTTGGGGAAACAGGGCTGGAGCCTGGAGCTCCTGAAGGCGGTCGTGGGGCTGCTAATAACGAGGACGGGGATGAGGATGGTGGCTCTGCGCTGGCAAGTGTTGTGGCGGCTGTGGGGGATGCTGTGAGGGAGGCGGTAGCTGCTGAAGGTGCAGGCAGGGCGCAGAGAGGGGCGTGGGTGGAGGCGGGGAGAGGGGAGACGGTGGAGGAGAGGCGCGCGCGGCTGCAGCAGCGGTTCTCAGCGCTCACCCGCCTCATGCTGCGCGACCACGCTGCCACCCGCCCCGTGCTCCGTGCCCCTGCTGGGGGGAACGCGCCTGCTGCTGCGGATGATGCCGGGGATGATGTGCGAGCAGCGGGGGCAGCTGCTGCTGCTGATGGCCATGCTGATGCCGCTGCCGCTGCTGCTGCTGCTGCTCGTGCGGAGGTTGGAGTGGGAGGGGAGGGTGCGGCCAGCAGGAGGGGAGGGGAGGCGGAGAGGAGGCGGCAAGTGATGGGGGCGTGGAGGCGGGACAGGGCGGGAAGGTCCTTCCGGTCCGCCGCTGAAATCATCTCCGACGTGCGCCCCTTGCCCTCGCCCTCTCCCTCGCCCTCTCCCTCACCCTCTCCCTCACCCTCTCCCTCTCCCTCGCCCTCGCCCTCGCTCTGTCCTTTTCCTTGCCCTCGCCCCCCTTCAGTTCTCGCCCTCTCCTCCTTTCACCTTTCAACTCCAACCGTCCCCTGTCACGAAATCCCCCCTTATAACGCTGTTCACTACCCCACGCCCTTCCTTCTTCTCCCAACACCATACTTCGTTGCTTGGCATGTTCCTTTGTCCCCCTCACTTCCTTGGCCGTTTTGTCTTCTGCCCGCCCGCTCACTCATCAGTCCGCCCTTCTCTGTGCACACATCCCTCCCTCCCCCCCCATCAGCGGCTGGCGGTGTGGCAGGCGTTGGAGGCGGGCATGGGGGGGGTGGACGCCGCCTTCCACCGCATCGCCCCCTTCCCCCGCCCCCCCCCTCGCGCGCAACTTCCCTCTCGCCTTCCGCCTCGCCGCCATCGACCGCGACTTCAATGAGTGTGTCCCCGCCCCGCCCCCCCTCCCCTTCAATGAGTGTGTCCCCGCCCCGCCCCCCCTCCCCTTCAATGAGTGTGTCCCCGCCCCGCCCCCCCTCCCCTTCAATGAGTGTGTCCCCGCCCCGCCCCCCCTCCCCTTCAATGAGTGTGTCCCCGCCCCGCCCCCCCTCCCCTTCAATGAGTGTGTCCCCGCCCCGCCCCGCCCCCCCTGCCCTTCAATGAGTGTGTCCCCGCCCCCTCCCCTTCAATGAGTGTGTCCCCGCCCCGCCCCGCCCCCCCTGCCCTTCAATGAGTGTGTCCCCGCCCCACCCCGCCCCCCCTGCCTTCAATGAGTGTGTCCCCGCCCCGCCCCCCCTCCCCTTCAATGAGTGTGTCCCCGTCCCGCCCCCCCTCCCCTTCAATGAGTGTGTCCCCGCCCCATCCCCCTTCCCTTCTCCCTGCGCTGCTCTGCTGTGCTTTGCTCTGGCTGAGCGCCTAGTTTTTCAGTTCCTAAGTAGCCATGAATTTGCGCCTTCAACCACGCTGTGTGGTCAAACCACTCATTGCAATCCAACCACTCATTGCAATCCAACCACTCATTGCAATCCAACCACTCATTGCAATCCAACCACTCTGCCAATCATTGTGCGGTTACAGCTCCCTCTCTCTCCTTCCTGCCTTCTCCGCATTCCGTTCCCCCACCTAACCCCACACATTCCCTGCCCGTGGTTCTCGTACCTGCTCGTCTCCCCACGCCACACGAGGTGCAGGTCGGACTACGAGATGCTGCTGGCGCTGGACGACATCTCAGCGCCCGTCGTGCGCCCCGGCGCCACGCCCGATGAGATCAACAGCCTGCCCACCGCCCTTGTCACGGTCCGTACCCTCTCTGCTCTCCTGCACCTGTTGCTCCGCATTGCAACAGCCTGTTCGCCCTGCTCTTAAGCACAGAAATGCACACGCTTGCTGCACGCACTGCTCACTGCTCTGAGTGCATCGGCAAGGAAGTGACTGTCCCCTCTCCGCCTGGTGCAGCCTGGTCTGGGGTCTGGGGTCTGGGGTGTGGGGTGTGGGGTGTGGGGTCGGGGGATGCATGTCCCATCAGCAGTGCACACTTCCCTTGCCATGCATGTGGTCGTTTTCCCCATTCCAGCCATACCATAGCGACCTGGGTAGCAGCATTGTCAAAGACAACTCCGTCTCTTCCCCCCTGCCATACCTCCATCGCCCATCTCCCCCCTGCCATACCTCCATCGCCCATCTCCCCCCTGCCATACCTCCATCGCCCATCTCCCCCCTGCCGTACCTCCATCGCCCATCTCCCCCCTGCCATACCTCCATCGCCCATCTCCCCCCTGCCATACCTCCATCGCCCATCTCCCCCCTGCCAGGCACATGACAGCGATCTGGACCCGTGTGCCATCTGCATTGAGGTGCCCTCCCCGCCTGAAGTCATCCGCCGCCTACCCTGCTCCCATGCCTTCCATCGCGATGTGAGTCAACCAAAGTCATTTTTTGTAACAAGAAGCATGAGTCAAAAGCGTGAGCCAAAAGCGTGAGTCAAAAGCATGAGTCAAAAGGGTGAGTAAAAAGCATGAGTCAAAAGCGCGAGTCAAAAGGGTGAGTCAAAAGGGTGAGTCAAAAGGGTGAGTCGACCAACCCTTCCACCGAAATGTGAATTGCACTTGGCTTGAAACAAGTGAACTTGGATAAACAAGTGAACTTGGATTGACTGGCTTCCACGATTTGTGCATGTCATAGTCAAATGTTAGTAATTCCATGAGATGGAAGCACACGGGTCATTGAAATGCTTATCACCACATTCATAATCACAGCATGAGCGCTGAACCTCTTTTTTTTTTTTTTTTTTTTTTTTTTTTTTTTTTTTTTTTTTTTTTGTTCCATTTCTTCTTGTGGGCTGAGCTCCGCGAGTTAGCATATAGATTTTCTCGGTTCTCTCAGTGTCATCGCTGTTCTTTCCTCCTCCACCCTTTCTGCCTACATTGGCTGCTGCCCCTCCCTGCTCTTGGCAGTGCATTGATGAGTGGTTGAGGCGCCGAGCAGTGTGCCCCATCTGCAAGCGAGACACACGGGGCGCGGAGCAGTGAAGGTGCTGCAGTTGCACCCACGAAATGAAGCATTGCAGGCCAGAGGCGATGGTGAAGCTGCGGGACATCTACACACTTCATTCAAGATTCTTGTTGCACAACGCATGTCTGTCCATCTCACTGCTAGGTGTAGTACTACTACCGTATGTACAGGTAATTGATTTATTCCCCATGCACCAGCACTACTGCCACTGGTTGCCCCCTTACCTGCCATGGATATGCATACCGTCGTCGCCAGATATAAGACATATTTGTCCATCCGATCCGATATTGCTTGAGAAAGTGGTTTTCCTTACGAAGGGGAGGGAAAAGGTATTTGTTGCGAGTGCAATTGAGCGAGCGAGCGAGAATTGCACTATCGGAGCAAAACAGTACATTGAGCGAAGGCATGAGCGAATATTATGTAGCGAAGCTAGCGTGGTAACGGTAATGCGAGAAATTGGGGTACGCTACGGGCCTAGCGCCGAGGTTGGGTCGCGCCGTGAACCGTGGCGGGAACAGTGGTCGAGGTGAGTGTCGCGAGTGGTAACGGTGCACTGTTGGGAACTGTTGGTGGGAACGGTCGTGTATGCGGTAAGCAGGGGTGCAAAGTAAGGGAAAGGAATTTTCCTTACACTACCCCACTCCCTCCCCACCCCCCCCCCCCCAAAAAGAGACTCCCCTTACGAGAGTGCGTGTACATCCTGGAAATTGCGGCTGCAGAGGTACTCGGTGAGAACAGGTTGGCTTTCAATTCTGTCCAAGGGCACCCAGTTGTCCTCGGTAGGCATGCGGTCTTTCCAGCGAATTAGGAACTCAATCCTGCGAGCTCCACGTGGGTCATGAACTCGGTGGCTCGGGATTTTCTCGGATGTGATGATCGGCTCCGTGGTCGTGTGGGCGGTCGTATCATACTGACAGGGCGGTTGCAGGGCAGTTGACTGGTGGATGGGACGCATGGGCGGAGTAAGCTGATGTGAAGTGACGGGCTGATGTACCAATTAGCAGGGAGGAGGAGGTGGGCGGTGACAGGTATTATCATGTGGCTGATGCGAAATGGCCTGCAATATCGTGGGCTGAGCTTCAGAGTGATGGGCACGCGGAGGTTTTGAGTGAAGATCAGAACGAGGTCCTTGGGCTCGTACGTGATTGGGCGACAGTGGCGATCAGCGTTACGCTTAGCGATGATTGATTTTTTAATGGCGTCTGCTGCTCGGGTCCGTGCTGGTTGTAAAATTTATGCGAACTATTGCGCGCGTGGTAATGGGTTGTCGGAATTCGGGGTCATGGGCACTGTTGGGTTCTGTCCGTAGTTGAGGTAGAATGGCAACTGTTGCGTCGTGGCTGAGGTGTCAGACATATATGACATAGCTGCTGTAGGCTATAGTGGGGTAGCACATATGGGGTACAGTTTTCTAGGGTTTGTACTTGTACCCAACTTTCCCTTAGTCATTCCCATTCTTCGTTTCTTCTCATGGAATCGAGCAGTTTCCCTAGTGGGAACGATTCCTAGGGCCCACCACCACGATTTTTTTTTTCCTGCCCAGAGCGCGCTTCACTCCGGCCCGAGTCGCGCCCCGTGTGCTCTCCCTACCGTCGCGCCCTCGCTAGGCCCCTCACGGCCCCGTCGCGTCGCCCTTAGCGGCCCTCTCACGGCTCCCTAGCGCCGCCCTTACGGCCCGTCGCGCCGCCCTTACGGCCCGTCGCGCCCGTCGCGCCGCCCTTACGGCCCCTCGTGCCGCCCTTACGGCTCCTAACGCCGCCCTTACGGCCCAGCGAGCCGCCCCTTACGGCCCCTTACGGCCCCTCACGCTACCCTTACGGGCCCTCCCGCGGCCCCTTCGGCCCCTCCCGCCGCCCGTCGGCCCCTTACGGCCCCCTCGCGGCCCCTCGAGCCGCCTTCCGCGGCCTCCTCACGCCCCGTCGCCGCCCTCGGCGGCCCCTCGTGGCCCCCTTCACGGCCTCTCCGCCGCCCTTCGCGGCCCCTAGCGGCCGGCCACCGCCGTCCCTGAGGCAGCAGCCGCCCCCGTCTCTGCAGCAGCAGTAGCCACAGCTCCTGCGACTGCTGCCGCGGTCGTCACCAGCCACACCAGCCGCCGAGCCGCCCAGCAGCCGAGCAGCCGAGCCGCCGAGCCGCCGAGCCGCCGAGCCGCCGAGCCGCCCAGCAGCCGAGCAGCCGAGCAACCGAGCCGCCCAGCAGCCGACCGCCGAGCCGCCCGAGCCGCCGAGTCGCCGAGCCGCCCGAGCCGCCAAGTCGCCTGAGCCGCCCGAGCCGCCGAGCCGCCTGAGCCGCCGAGTCGCCGAGCCGCAGTTGCTGCCGAGCCGCCGAGCCTCCCGAGCCGCCCTGTCCGGTAAGAGCAGCGCTTCTATCCCTGCACTGCCCTTACCCTACTGTTCGCGCTGCTAGTCTACTGCTGTCATGGCTACCCCTAGTATCCTCACCTTTGACGCTGAGGGTCGGGCCATTGACTTTGACATCTGGATAGATGACTTGCAGCTTTTCTTACAGTGCGATAGGGCAGACGGTCTCTCCCTCTTTGACCTCACCTCTGGTGCCTCTCCTGCCCCTGCTGCTGATGCTGACGCCACTGTTCGCTCACAGTGGGCCACACGCGATGCTGCTGCACGTCTTGCTGTGCGTGGCCACGTGCCTACCTCTGAGCGTGCGCACTTTAGCCAGTACAAGAGTGCTCAGACCTTGTACGACGCTGTAGTTGCACACTACTCCTCCCCTGCCACTGCTGCACTGAGCCGCCTCATGCTACCATACCTCTTCCCTGACCTTACTGCCTTCCCCACAGACGCTGACCTCATTACGCACCTCCGCACTAGTGACACTCGCTACCGCGCTGCGCTTCCTGCTGAGTTCTACGCCAAGAAACCCCCCCCCATGTACATCACCCTCTACTACATAGTCACCCGGCTCCCTGACTCCCTTCGCGTAGTCAGGGACCACTTCCTCTCAGTTTGCCCCACCACTCTCACCGTTGACCTCCTTGAGAAGGCCCTCCTAGCAGCAGAGAAGAGCATAGTCGCTGTAGGAGCCTCTCGTGGTGACCCTCGCACCCTCGTCTTTGAGGGGTGTTCCCCCTCCCCCCTTTTGCCCTCTGTTGCCTCTGCTGCTGCGGCCGACCTCGTGGTTTCGAATCGGTCGGCGCTGTGTCTGCCCCGAGCGGGAGACGTCGCACCGGCAAGGGCAAGGGGGGCAAGGGCGCTGAAGGGGCTCACGGGGGTGGCGGAGGTGGCGGTGGAGGCAGTGGAGGGTGTGGGGGTGGTGGTGGGAGTGGTGGCGGGGGTGGAGGTGTCGGTGGCGGCAGTGGAGGCGGAGGCGGCGGCGGCGGTGGCGGTGGGAGCGGAGGTGGCGGAGGTGGCGGCGGTGGAGGAGGCGGCGGCGGAGGCGGTGGAGCTGGTCGGGTTGGCGCTGCACAGAGGGTCGGCTCCAGGTGGTGGTCAGCGCCAGCAGCAGCAGCAGCGCACTCGTGACATCCCCTCCCCTCAGCAGCTCCGTGAGTGGTACGGTGCACGCCAGCGGGGTTGGGGTACTGGTCCGTGCAACTACGTCCTACGCACCGGCGACCGCGCGGGTGAGCGGTGCGGGGGTGCGCACTCCACCCAGCGCTGCTTTGGCCGCATCACGGACGCTTGGCGTCACCAGTTCCCTGAGGCCATTGAGATCCCTCGCTGGGGCGAACTGTCTAGGGCGGGAGTAGCTATCTTTGACCTTGAATTTGATGCTATTCTTGCTACCATGTATGCTGTGACTATTAGTGATGAGGGTGACTGTTACCGGTGTTTTCCGCCCGACCCCGGCATTGAGGCTGCTGCTCTAGGTACTTGTGAGGCTGCTGCTCTAGGTGCTAGCGAGGCTGCTGCTCTAGGTGCTGGTGCGTCTGCTTCCTCAGGTGCTGGTGAGTCTGCTCTCTCAGGTACTGCGTCGGCTTCGGCCTCCCACACCTTCACACTTGACTCGGGGGCTTCTCGCTCCTTCTTTTGAGACCGCACCACACTCACGCCGCTTGGTCGGCCAGTTGCAGTCTCTCTGGCAGACCCCTCTGGGGGTCCTATCCTTGCTCACGTCTCCACTATCCTCCCGTGTCCGGCGGCCCCCTCTGGCACCCTGTCTGGTCTTTACCTCCCCTCGTTCTCTACAAACTTGGTGAGTGGTGCTGACCTGCAGGATGCAGGGGTTCACCAATTCACTCCTGCAAGTCAGCAGGTGACCCACTGCACGGACGCTCGGACAGGCCGACACCTGGCCACGTTTACACGTCGACCGAGGTTGGGCCTGTACACACGGACCACTGAGTCTCCTCCAGTCACTGCGTCTGGTCAGGTAGCTGCGTCAGGTCAGGTGTTTGCTGCAGCGTCCCGGTCTGGTCCTGAGTCTACCCCCTGCTCGTGTCGCCTTCTGTCTCACGAGACTCTCCTCTGGCACCACCGCCATGGTCAACCCTCCGGCTTCGTCTCCGAGGCATGGCCTCCCATGTCCTTGTATCTGGTCTTCCCCGGTCCCTCCCTCCCCTTCGTCCAGGGCCTGCCCCTGCCTGCGTCCCCTGTGTCGAGGGGCGGCAGCATGCTGTCGCTCACTCCTCCCAGTTTCCTCCGACAGAGGCCCCGCTGCAGACGCTTCACATGGACGTGTGGGGCCCGGCCCGCGTCCGTGGACAGGGTCACGAGCGCTACTTCCTGCTGGTGGTTGACGACTACTCGCGTTACACCACTGTTTTCCCCTTGCGCAGCAAGGGTGATGTCACTTAGGTGTTGATCGTCTCGATCCGCGCCCCTCGTCTCCAGCTCAGGCACAGCTTTGGCTCGGACTTTCCTATTCTGCGTCTGCACTCTGACCGAGGCGGAGAGTTCTCCTCTGGCCTTCTGCGAGCCTACTGTCCTGCACGAGGCATCCGCTAGACCGTCACGCTTCCGGACTCTCCACAGCAAAATGGGATTGCTGAGCGCCGCATTGGCATGGTCATGGACGTCGCCCGTACGTCCATGATGCATGCGGCTGCCTCCCATTTTCT